AGCATTTATCACCCCTCAGCTAATTTATTAGAAGCTTCACACCCATAAAATCAATAGGGAGAGGGGGTTATGCATTATCGGGAATTAATTCTTCTAAAATATCAATGCAAAGGTGTTAAGCAATAATAACATAGCGAAGGGGTGATAAGTACCACTAAGGGTAAAATTTACCCTTAATTCTATCAATGTTTAAGGTTTGATCTAACATCCTCCAATAGTAGAGAACTTTACCAATAACATCTAACAAACTATCCAAGGACTTTCACAGATTTGCATTAAGAATTATGTCGACATATTAACATAAACAAAGTATTAATTATTTACATACTTAGCAAGCTGCTTGCATTCAAACATATCCGAAATCTTAATTACCTTTTTTCTCATGGTTTTTCCAGAAACATATAATAAAGATATTTGATATAAAAGAAAAGGAAATAATCTAATAGCTTAAAAGAAATAAGCATCTTTCCCCCTTAAAACTACTGCTAGAAACTGTAAATTAAAATAAAAACATCTTTCCTAAATCAAAAGAAACCGCATACGAAGGAGAGATGTACGAATAAATAGATCAAATTGACAAATTCAAGAACAATTATTAAATTGAAATCACTCGATTTATCTCCGATGGATCAATTAAAGTAGGACTTATGCGATCTAAAACGTAGAAATATAGATCTACATTGAAATTTTCGCGATCTTAAAAGATCTATTTTTTGCAAATTATATATACCTCTGGATCGGAGATTGAATCGCAGAAATTAGGGTTTCGACGCTCCGCTTTCGTTCTCTCTTCCGCGACCTTTTTGTTTGGGGAAAATTTCCCTGCGTCCTAATTTGTCGAGTTTGAGATCAATCCGGACCGTTCGTTTATGGAGCTTTTCACGAATCATGAGGAACACGTGTCGGTTAGATGTCTGTAGCGTAAGATAAGAATCCCAGCCGATCTGTTTTCCTTGCAGAACGCTACGATAAGCTTTTATGTTTGGGTTTTCTAGTTGTGTTCGTCAATCTTATCTTTATCTTATCTTATGCTATTCTAAAAACTATGAGAGATATACGTGCATTACACGCGATTATCTGTTTGGTTTATTTCTTTAGTATGACTTGGTTGTAAAAGTATTTTGTTTAAATCTTCACTTGATGATGTAATGTTATTTGTGTACTTTCTTAATACTTACATTTATGTATCTTCAGGTTTTATTTTATGTGTCGTTGTGATCATAAGCAAAGTAAGCTACAAATTATTGGAAAAAATTATTCGCTTATAAACCATGAGTAATGTAAGCTACACATTATTCGAAAAGATTATTCGCTCATATAGCAGCCAATTTCTTCAATGCCTCAAATCTAATAATAAAAGATGACATAAAATTCTTGTGAAGTAAAAAAGAAAAGGGAAAAAAATCTTCTATCTTAATTCCTAAAGACTATAGAATAAGAAACCTATCATCATTTAAGAAAACCTCTCTATAAGTTTGCAAAGATAACCACATTGTGTTAGATCTACATCATAAAACTTGAGATCTAAAACCATATAGCCATGATTAATTCAAAGAGATTAACAAATAATCAAAAGAGCGGAAGCTTATACCTAAATCCATGGATGAAATCTTGATTTGGGTTTTTGATGATCTTCTAACCTTAGGGTTCCTCTAAAAAACCGAATTTCTCTAGTTAGATGGGGGTGTAGAGAATTAGAGAATGTAACCCTAGGTTAGGGACCATAACCCCTTATTTATAGATGTTGTACTTTTGTAATTTAGCCCCTCAATAAATTACAATTACAACCTGGTATCTGCACATATAACCCCATGACTTATTTAAATACCAAATTAACCCAACTTAATTGATCACTTTAGTGAGTTATCCTGAAAGATAGCAATACACATTGATTAATCATATGTGCCCACAAATAGATTTATTAGATTAAATCCAACAATCTCCCACTTGAGCACCATATGATTCCTTAAACTGTGTATAACCTTATGAGCTCAAAAAATTGCTATCACTGAAATGGTATTTCCGAACAATCTCGTCCATTGACTATATCAATATAGGATCAAAGCGGCCTTCGTCACATTTATCGTGACTCGACCCATCAATGGTCACATATACCAATACAACCAAACGACATAGATCAATCATGGATGTGCAGCATGAAAATTACATGCAATGTGATCAGTACATGTCTATTTTCAACTGGTCCTCCTTAGTGAGGTCAAAACCAAACATAATGTAACAGAGTGTCTTAACTGAAAACTTTATTCTGATCAGACAATACAAACAAACATAAAGCACCACAAATACAAACTCCCACTAAAACATAATATCCTCAAATAATACCACACCCATATGAGCAGTATGCTCATGAAAGACCTTAGGTGGCAATCCCTTAGTAAGAGGATCAGCTATCATGGAGTTTGTCCCAATGTGCTCTATGGATATCTGTCCACTCTGTACCCTTTCTTTCACAACCAGGAACTTAATGTCAATATGTTTTGACTTAGTTGAGCTCCTGTTGTTATTGGAATACATTACTGCAGATTTATTGTCACAATATAACCTTAGTGGTCTTTCAACATTTTCCAAAATGCGCAGTCCCGTGACAAAATTTCGCAGCCATATTCCCTGATTGGATGCCTCATAGCAAGCTACAAATTCTGCTGCCATAGTGGAGGAAGCTACTAGTGTTTGTTTGACACTTTTCCATGATATAGCTCCTCCTGCTAACATATAAATGTAGCCTGATGTAGACTTCCTGCTATCTTGGCATCCAGCAAAATCAGAGTCCGAATACCCAATGACCTCTAATTTCTCTGATTTTCTGTATGTGAGCATGTAATCTTTTGTTTTCTGAAGATACCTCATAACCCTTTTGACTGCTATCCAATGATCCATACCAGGGTTGCTTAAGTATCTGCCTAACATCCCAACAATGTACGCAATATCCGGACGCGTACATACCTGAGCATACATTAGACTTCCTACAGCCGAAGCATAAGGAATCTTCTGCATTTCCTGAATTTCAAGGTTACCTTTAGGGCACTGATTGAGACTAAACTTGTCTCCTTTAGCAACAGGGGTGTCACCTGGTCTGCAATCTTGCATGCCAAACCTTTTAAGTACCTTATCGATATAGCTCTTTTGTGATAATCCAAGAATACCCCGAGAGCGATCTCGATGTATCTGGATCCCTAATATAAAAGAGGCGTCCCCAAGATCTTTCATCTCAAAATTCTTTGATAGAAATCTCTTGGTTTCGTGCAACATGCCTATATCATTAGTGGCAAGCAAGATGTCATCCACATACAGAACCAGAAAAATATACTTACTCCCACTGAACTTGTGATATACACAGTCATCAACAATGTTCATCTCAAAACCGAACGAGATAACTATTTGTTGAAACTTATGATACCATTGACGAGGAGCTTGCTTGAGTCCATAGATGGATTTCCTTAATTTGCAAACCATATTCTTTGGGTCTCCTGACACAAAGTTTTCTGGTTGCACCATATAAATCATCTCATCAATGTCTCCATTGAGAAATGCAGTCTTAACATCCATCTGATGTAACTCAAGATCATAATGAGCAACAAGTGCCATGATTATTCTGAAAGAGTCTTTCGATGAAACCGGAGAGAAAGTCTCTGTATAATCAATGCCTTCCTTTTGAGTATAGCCTTTAGCCACAAGACGCGCCTTATACCTCTCCACATTACCGTTTGCATCCCGCTTGGTTTTAAAAATCCATTTACAACCAATTGGTTTTGCACCTTCTGGCAATGGGACAAGTTCCCAAACCTTATTGTCTTGCATAGACTTATACTCTTCATTCATGGCATCAATCCACTGTTGAGAGTTAGAACTTTTCATGGCCTGAGAGAAGTTGATTGGATCATCTTCTAACATTCCACTACTTTCCTCATGTTCTTGGAGAAATACAATATAATCATCCGGAATAGCATTTCTCCTTTCTCTCGTGGATCTCCTTAATGGCACTGGTTCTTGAGGTTGTTGAGTTTGTTCTTCTGGAACAGGGAGTTGTTCAACATTATCATCTTGAGGTTCCGGATTTACTTCTTGAGCAACAACAGGTATAGGAACCTGAATATTGTCAAAAGTAACTGTATGGATTGGATCTGAAGCCAATTCCTCCTCAAAACTAATGTCTCTAACCTTATTTCTC